TGTGGGTTTCATGTGTACTGCATTGTGGGTTAGTTCCCAGCAGACTTGTACCATATATCCGGTCAAAATTTGTTTGTGTGCCATACTCTGAAGACCCTAAGTTGTTGATAGCCGAGTTCTGACTATTACCACTTGTACTATTGAGGGTGACATTGTTGTGACATTGGATATCAGTGTGTGCCATGGTGCGATTTAGCACGTTGTGGGTGCTAGTACTATTGACCGTGGGAAGTGTGGGTTTATTTAAGCTGCCACTGTTTTTGTTTGTATGGTTTAGGGGCATATTTTCCTTACCTTTAGCAATGAAGTTATGGCTAGGAGAAGACAAAGTGGAATTTCGGGGGGTTTTGGCTTTTTTTCTGGGGTTATTTAATGGCATTTTAGATTCTGCGGTGATAGGTGGTATGGTTTTGTTATTTATTTGGTTACAGTCTAGTGGCCTTTCGGCTGGTGTTGCACTCTGATGGGATATTTCTGTGTGTTTTGAGAGGGGTGATGCGGTGGGGTCTACTGTATCTTTCACAGGGTTGGGAATAATGGCTGCTTGCAATGTCCTATTACCTATTTCACAATTAGTCTTAGCAAGATAGTTGTATGCGCGCCTTTCTATGACTGTTTTGTCCACCCCGACCTTTATATGTTTGTAGTTTCTGGCTTGCGATAGGGTGTGTTGGGAGTGAATGAATTTTCTGGTCTCTGCCGGTGTTTCGAACTGAAAACGAATAGGACAACACTTCTCATGTTGACTCTTCTTCAGCCTATAGCACTTAGTCTTGGAGTTAGGCATTTTCGCTTCACTAAGTAAGATGCGCTGTACCTTTTTTAGTGCCTCATTGTCCGGAACGTTGTAGACAATAGCACTCAGTTTTGCGTCGAGTCGTTTTGTTACTTCTGTGGTAACAAAATTAATGAGGTTATCTACCTTAGTTACCGATTCTGTGTCAAGCTTGTTAAGGTTTACAGTTTTCATGAGGATAGTTAGAGGTGTCAATTCACAGACCTGCGATCTGATATCGCTGATCTGATCTGATAATTTGGATATCTCGGCATCGGTTTCGATGTTTCCAGCATTTACTGACTTGCTGTTTTTTATTTCCCTTAACTCAGCCTTAAGTTCACCTATAGACAACTTTAGAAGTTCTATTTCTGAAGATAGTACTGAAGAAGAGCTTGATGGCTGGAGTTTTTCGATAAGCACATAAGGTGAAGGGAGGGGTTCTGTATGAGCAGAGGGTACTGAATTTTTAGGAGTAGTGCTAATACTAGCTGTCAGTACAGTTTTATCCTCAGTTCCAGCTCGACGCTTACGGCATACAAGTGAGTTATGTGACTCATTATAGCCGTTTGTAGGGGGTGTGTTGCTTGATGTAGCAATCAAGGACGTTAAATTAGACACCAGTTTTACAGGGGATGGGTTCGTTGCTTTTTACTTTGATTAACCATAACTATTAGAAATGGAAGTTAGTGGTTACAAGTATGGAGGTAGTATAGTACTTGTGCAAGTACTACAACAAGATAAATTTTATGTAACGAATCACGTAAAAATGTAACGCAAACGTTGAACGTTCCTTACAATCAATGAAGGTCTTCCAAACCTTTGACGTAATATGCTCATAGCCTCATCGTGGCCCTGTTTTGGCTTCATAAACTTACAACACTGTATAGCTCTTGAAGCATCTCCAGTGCAATATCTCATCAAATACATTAACTTCAATTCATCAGTTAATGAAAAACCACTCAACATGATCTCAAACTCCTTTACAAATTGTAAATAATCAGCCGGGTTTCCATCAAAACACCGTGGTTCTAATTTAGGGAGTTTGATGTTCCTATTATCCCTGAACGGCGAAACAGTAACATCAACCATGTCATGCTTAACATCAGACACATCGTTACAATTAACAGACAAGTCACAATGACTTACTTTCCTGTTTGCATCCAAGACACTCTGTCCCTTCTTTGACCCAGGCATTGTTGAACTTGACCCAATTCCAAAAATGTTCCAGATATTGCTTGTTCAAAGAGGACTTGACCGGCACCAGGAAAGATGAACGGTGACTATCCAAACTGTCACCAACTGTTTGAATCCGCCAGATCTGTTTCTATCGTCAGAAACTCTCAGTCACGTCTCGTAAACCGTTAATGCCCAGCTCTTGCTACGCTCGGGCTCACGCTGTCGCTTGAAGTTTCTCAGAAACGCTTAGTAATAACGGACGAAAAAACCAGAACACCAATTGTTGACTTGAGTATTCTCTATTGTTACACCAACACATAAATCAAGTATGACTAAGGTCTGTGAACAAATATTACAATAATAAATCATAATATTACTTCTGACGGTTGTCTCCTGACTTCTTTCTGAACAGCGATCGATGAGACGATGACTGTCGTATTGATGCCTCCACGAAAATTGGGGAAGTTGGTTTTGAGCAAACAACCGTGAATTGATCGTTCAATCTTCAACTCCATTGACACTGTTCTTGTAAGCCTTTCATAAATATTGTGTAATAACCAACGCGAAAATCCAGATCACAAATTGGCGTGAATATGTAACCAACATGGTCCAAGACTAAATGTTACAACAATAAATCACGATAATAACTCTGATAGTTCTTTTTATCTTCCACTGAACGGAGAACGATGAGATGATGGCTGCTGGATTGATGACCCCCGCGAAAAATATGGAGGAGTTGGGTTTGCGCGAACATCCATAAAGTGATTGTTCAATCTTCGACTACATTGACATGTGCACTGGTCGAATCTGGCATTTCACTAGCTGTTATCCAACATTTCACGAAGATCACGCGTTATGACTTCCAAAACTCCTCTTCAGCTTAGGACTTCAGGTTCTCCCATAGTGAGGATGTGGACCCCACACAATACCTTCCTCTTTCAGGAGGAGGCGATTGCGCTGTTCGCACTTTCAAGGTCACAAAGGTAGCATCATAGGTCAATGCCCCAGTGCGACCAAGCGCTTGGAAGGCCGGTGTGACTGCTATCTTCTCAACTGCCGAATTGTTGAACTGGCGCATGAATCCCAAATACCAAGTAGAAGCCACATGGGACTAGGTTTGGCAACTTTACGCACGGGTAAGTGAAGCTGACATCCCTTGGTCTGTCTCAATGGTCCAGAAACATTGCCTCCCACAGATAAACCAGGTCATTCGTAAATTATTCACGTGCAAACATGAATGCTGGAAATTATATGTCACACTCAAGACTCGTTATACAGGGTAGTTATACAGCGTCTTTAGGAACAAAGCTATTTCAGAAATCCGCCAATCAAGTGTAAAGTCTAAAATGCATCTATCTAAAAAAGCAACGGACAACCTAAGAAAATTTCCTCGTACATGAACTTCAGGAATAAAGCAACCAATGGAGTCGCAGACGCCGACACAACCGAAGTGGAATGAGGAAAGGCTGAAGTAATGGCAAACTACTTCTCCAAAGTCTTTCCACAGGAGTCGCCACTGTCCAACTTTATTCGCCTCGGCGTAGAGTAGGATAGGCTCTGTTGACGGCGACCAAGACCATTAACTTAAGTTACCAGACGCAGGGTAGTCAGTGGGACCTGATAATCTTCATCCAAGGCTTCTCAAGGAGCTATCAGCTCATGAAGCCGGACCGCTGGCTACGATCTCCAAGCTATATCTCCTCGGTGGAGTGCTACAGCGTGACTGTAAAGATGTCATAGTAACCCTTATTCACGAAGGAGGGCCAAGACAACGCTCTTGAAACTGCAGGCCTATTAGTCTCACTTGCACCTTCATCGACGTACTTTAAAGAATCATACAAGAAAGCTATCATGGGATATCTGAAAACAACTTGTCATCCAGAGTACAACACGGCTGCCGAAGGGTCCTCCCATGCATGTGAAACCTTCCCACAACAAAAGAAAGCTTGGCCAAGTCATGGAACAACAGAGGACCCATCGACATAGCCTTCACAGAACTCAGAATAGCTTTCGATAAAATGCCTCACGAAGGACTACTCACGAAATTGGAAGGTCACGGTATCAAAGACAAGGTGCTAACCTGGATTAAAAAATTCCTCATACATAGGAAACAGAAACTCAGGATCAACTTGAAACGCTTCTCCTGGACGACAGTGTGTAGCGGAGTGCCATGAGGCGCGGTACTCGGCTCTCTTCTATTTATTATGCATATCAATGAGTTGTCTATGCTCGCCGATTCCCTGTAGTCCTATGCGCGGACGACTTGAAAATTTGGAGAGCTGTAGGGCAACAGTGATATGCTCACGTTGCAAGAGGACCTTAAAAAATTTCAGGGTGGTCCAGAGAATGGATGCCAACTGGTAATGTAGGGAAACGCCCAACCATGTGCATCAGGCACGCAAGCATCAGCTCCTATGAACTAGAGGGAATAGCATTCCCATCAGTTCAAACTCATTTGGATTTAGGTGTCACAGTGAGTCGCGACTAAAAATCTGTTACCTTTTGCCGTGTGGTGGCTGCGTGTAGTCCCAGATCATTGTGGGCGGTTCTAAGAGCCTTTGCAAGAATCACAACAGACCTGTTCTCTGCATACATCTTTGGTGAGGTCAGGACTGGAAAAATGTGTCTAGTCAGCCAGTCCTTGTCTTAAAGAGGATTCACATATTTTGGAAAGAGTTGAAAGGAAGGCAACAGGTACGATTCTCGGCACGGGAAATTTACCACGTGAGGAAAGACCAGACAGTTTAAATCTCTTCTCCCTATTACACCGTAGGTAGAGATGAGGTATGGTTACAATGTTTTAATCTCTAAATAATGACTACGCGCAGTGGAAGCGTGCTGGGCCCATAACTCAATGACTACGGACCTGAATAATTATCTCTTTTCCCTCCCATCATGTCATAAAAACTCAGAAGACATAGCGGAAGAGTTTACAAGCCAAGGATAATCTATTCTGTTGCAGCGTATTAGTTCTCATACCGAGTCATAAACTCCTGAAACTGACTTCCAGAAGAAGTGATATCACATCCTTCAATTTACTCATTGCAGAAGAGTTTGAACAAGCACGGAAATGTACTAGAAAAGGATTTACATAGGCTCAATTCACTCTATTCTCAACCGAAAAAATCTGAATATTGCAAATTGTGAGGTTATTGAATGTTGAATGATACAAGACTGAGCCCGTCATTCAAATACTGCATAACTTTCAAATCAAGGTGGTAAACGGTCGTACAATGCAGGTCACACGGAAAAGTATTAATTTCGCCTTAAACGTAACCTCCAAAAATGTGTTTCGTCAGTTCTCGGTGACACCAGTAGCTTCTGCAGTAAGTTTGTATATCAAATAACTCACTGAATTGCCTTAAGAGTCTAAAGGACATAATGGCAGATTTAATTCCTAAGGAACAAGCGAAAGTAGCAGCTTTCAGAAAAGAGTATGGGTCCACAAAAGTTGGGGATGTTACTGTTGATATGGTTTGTTCTCAATTATAATAAGCATATTTTGGTAAGATGTACGGTGGTATGAGGGGTATCAAAGGCTTGGTCACAGAGACTTCCGTATTGGACATCAATGAAGGCATTCGTTTTCGTGGCCTTTCAATCCCGGACTGTCAGAAGCAGCTCCCCAAAGCTCCAGGGGGAGAAGAACCACTTCCTGAAGGCATATTCTTTCTATTGCTCACAGGCCAAGTACCAACCAAAGCCCAAGTGGATGGTATTTCAAAGGAGTTAGCTAATCGGGCTGATCTACCATCTCACGTTCTTAATATGCTCAACAACTTCCCCTCGTCACTACATCCTATGAGCCAATTAGTTGCTGCATGTGCAGCTCTCAATTCAGAATCAAAATTTGCACGGGCGTATTCCCAGGGAATAAAAAAGAGTGTATATTGGGAGGTAAGTGCATATAAACAGCTTTTGTGTATTCTTGAGACACTGTGTTATTTTAACTTCTGATTAGACTACTTCAAATTTGTAAGAAGTGTAAGGCTAAAATTTTCAGATGAATCCTGACTTTTAAAGGCTGAATTCGCAAGTCCACCTCTCAGGAAAATATGACTACACACGTGGACGTAGGCGTGTTTTATTCGTTAGACTTTTACTACGAGCCACTGACTTATGTACGACTCAGTATTTGGCTATATGACTTATTGTGTGAGGATTAGTGATGCTACTTATGCTGATTTGCCCGGGTTGAAACCTGTACCCAGCGGATGAAAGTCAAGTGCTGAAACCGCATCAGTTTTACAACTAAGTAAACGCAGGAAATTGATTTCTAGTCACTTGATATTGTGTAAACAGTTCTTTGAAAGTTTGATAGATGTGGTAGCTTGAAACTCGGTGATCTAGCTCACTATCGCAGATATATTCGCTGACTATTCTCAGTGTAGGATTTAGGCGCTATGGTAGAATATAGTTCTACATAACTGACACATCATTAGTTACTGGATGACGTTTTGAGCACCATTTATTACTCAATCAGTGATAGTGGAAATGTAATTTTAGGTCAGTCTTCATACAGCGAAAATATGTATATCAGATAGGCACATTTTACCACCATGTGACTACAACACCATGTAACCATACTTGTTTATTTCAGCGCAGTTCGTTCATTTTATGTTTTCTCATCATACCGATTTTTGGATATCAGAAACACCTTGCAAAACCCCCTCTAGTAAGCTGAAGGGTCAACTGTTTTAAGACAAGTGGACGTGTATGGTTTATAGTGCATTACAAAATGGTTGGGTATTCCAATATGATAGAGATCTGTTTCTCTGTCCGTTCTCTAGATAGCTTCCAGGTTTATGTGACCTGCTATGGGCAGTAATCGCGTGGTTAACAATTCAAGTGGTTTTTTATAAGAACAGCAATATTGTCTATGCAGTACAAACCAAAAGGGAAACCACTTGTATCTTCGAATTTCTACTTTCCGATGATGTTAACGCTAATTCTGGTTCCTCCTCTACATCTTATTATCATACATCTATCTTATGCAATACATTTGACAACCTCATTCCACGTTCATTTTCTAAATCAGTAAATATAATAATGAGTTCATATCAAAAAGATAGGTGCGAATTAATACAATTTACAAACAGTCATAACTTTCACTGATAGCAAATTTAAATTTCCTTAGTAAAGTAACTAAGTTAGAGATCATTTACAGACTGCTGTAGGCAGACCGTCGTTATCAATAAGAGGGTTGTGGGAGCAGTAGACTTACTCCTGACTTTTGTTTTCAAACAACATTCTAATAAATGTTTTTCTGTTTTTCATTGAAAGCAGTTAAAAAGTTTTGTGAGGAAAGTTCAGATTCTTTTTAATGCATATTTTGTGTTGATATTATCCGAGAAAATTCGCCTAGAATGTATATCTAATCGTGCTGCACTTCACTTCAACTGAACATGGTGTCTGAAATGTTTGGGTTTCTCCACAATAAGAAGTATGCGATTGGTATATAAAAGATTCAGTGGTAGGCAAACGAAAACCTGCCATCAGTCCATGAAGTCTTTGGTAGTTGTTTTGGACCAACCACGTAGGGAGGTGTGGACTGCCTGGTTTTGATCCTTGGGATACTAACAATCAAGGACTGGAAACTGTTGGTGACATATCCACTGAACCGTCACGTTTCGTCATGCTACTATTCTTTCTCTCCATGTCTGCGTATTATAGTTCTCTGTTCTTTACCTTTGTGTCACGTAGAGTGTACGAACTTAAACTGCTGCACCCCTGTGGAAAGTTCTCAGTCAGTAATTTCGCGGTATCATAAAAGATCCTCATTATTCTTATTAAACACTGATCAGTACAAAACCTCAGTTTTGTTATATTTTTGTAATCATGTTCTTTTGTTCCAAAGTGGTTATTTAACCTTCATTCGTTGCCACTGAACTGCACAGCAATCTACTGGGGAACAGTCATTTAAATAAAGCTACGTTGTTTAAATATCGCTGGGTGTTGCCATGTACTATGTGAAATTAAATAGTATTATTTTAACTTACACCTAAAAGTGTTTAATTTATTTTAGTACGTTTATGAAGATTCTATGGATTTGATTGCCAAACTTCCTACTGTGGCTGCAATTATTTACCGAAATTTATATCGGGATGGAACATCTGTTACTGCGATAGACCCAAATACAGATTGGTCGCATAACTTCTGTCGTATGCTCGGTTATGAAGACCCTGGTTTCACCGAAATGATGCGTCTTTATCTCACTTTCCACTGTGATCACGAGGTAGGCGAAAATAACTACAAATAATTGTCTGCTTTCAATTCTCAATGTAACAACCTTTTGTTTTGTTGTAGGTAGTAACTAAAGGTGTTACATTTTACTTGTGAGCAGTGAGCAGCAGACCACTACTCCTCGCTTTAAGGCTCTATGTAACACAGACGCCCGAATATATAAAATATAGGAAGATACTGTTTTTTCTTACTGTAAAATTCCTTCACTATATATTTATGAGCTCTAATAAGGTTAGGCCTAGGGTACCGGATAAAAAGGCGGAACTAGTCGACGAGGTTGTAGGGTTCCATTGGCCAAAATTGCATGAGGAGGCATGCTGTGCCACGGTCTTCATCGACGTGGAATTTTCGATGAAGTAGGGTTAGAATGGGAAGATTTTTCGGGTGGTCAGAATGAAATATGGCATCAGTCCAGTAAGTCACAGACTTTTGTTCTAAGTCACTTAAGGAAGTGTAGTCTTCTTGTTTTGAGTTCTTGTAATGCTGAGAATTCATGTGTAATGGTATCTAAAAGTTTTCACATTGGCTTATCACGTTTTAGATTCCGGAAGCATTCTTGCCCTGATGCTTGTCATACATCATTTTTTCTTTATTCCTTCACATTCCGAGTGGAACATAGGGCTTGGAGCTTTGAAGCTTCAGTAGTAATGGTGTTATTCTTTTTTACGTCTTGGGGTTGCTAGATTCACTCTTAACCTTTCCTCTTTACCGAGCAATCTACTGTCTAAGCGAGGTTTGCGAGAGCGTCAGTCGGGGATTGAACCCCGGGCATGTGGGTGGTTGGCGAGCATTTATCCCCCTTATACTTAATGCGACTCGGTTTTTTATTTAGAAAAACTTGCCATTTTCGGATTTGCTGCCCAGCATACACCTGACTTCGTGCTGGACTGCCTGTATTCTGTCCCGATAGATTTGCACCCGGGTTAGCCTCTACATTCTGTGCTTTGTCATACATCAGGCTAGTGTAAGTAGAACTGGCATAATTTGAAAACCATGTTTTTCTTGAATATGCATACACAGTGGTATTGGTGCCTAAGTCACAACCTCAATATCTCATTAGATTCTCATATCAATGTATGCCCCAAGAAATCTACCGTATCTAAGTCAGGGATATCTAGCAAGTATGTATTCATGACCATTGTTGTGTCTGTCGAATCTCACCCTCTCAATAGTAACGTCTTGTAAGCAATTCTAATTTAGTTCAAGATACGGTTTTCACTAAATGAGTTATTTCGCTTTGAAATCCGGGCTTCGGTAGCTGGGATATATTTTCCATCTTCATGGATGTGTAACTCACTCTTTAGACCGTGTTTCTCAGATAATTCTGCTCAGTAGCTCAGGACGCTATCACATATAACACTGAATTGAAAGTAGGAGTAATTATGTTGTTTTCTCTCTTTATTAGAAAGTACAGGTAGATGGGCAGAGATATTTGTCATGTATAAGGTATGTGTTCATTTCGCTGTGCACATTTTGCGAAGGTTTAAAGGGTAATAATGTTGTTAGTTTCAGCGGACTGGGATAGTATCTTGACCTTATGACAGTGAATTTCTTCTGGTTGCCGAACCGCCAACCATATACGCTTGTTCCTAATTACCAGCAAACCGTTTTCACTGGTCGGTAGACTTATCGGCACCTACCACTATTCTAGTGTATACGATTTCTCCTTGATTATATCAGTTAGAGAAACATGGAAAACCAGGGAGTACTGCAGAAGTGTTTCACTCTCGTCTGCAGCTCTCCAGCAGTACGCACCCATCACTGGAGGTGAAATCCAGAGCTTTCAGGTTATGAGACGTTGACCATTCCACCACTGGGACGGAATCCAATGGCTCATCAATTCCAACCTCTACCGATTAACGATATACAACGGCCAACAGCCATCCAATGTCATTGGCGAGTATTTATACTCACACTTTACTCGGCGGACTCCGCTAGTCACAGCTTCCCTTTGCGACTTCAAATAACTTTGTCCAGCAGTCAGTCACTGCTGATCATTGGGTTAGTTCTCAAGTGTTGGTTCACCGAAATTTTATTGCTTTCAAGTTAGATCGTGAATTGGCGTGAAGTAGTAGATTAATGACCGCGGGTAAGAAGCGAATGAGGCAATCGGTATCTAATATTCTAGAATAGGGGAGATTTTGTTTTATGTATTTACACTTAGTAGTCTTTTATCTCTTTCCAGCATTATCCTCCAATACTTTTTTATTCACTCCAAAGTTATTACCTAAATTGTATCCCTAACTTTAATTTCTCTTTTATTAGGGTGGTAATGTCAGCGCACATACTTGCCATTTAGTAGGTAGTGCACTTTCTGACCCATATTTGAGCTTCTCGGCATCTATGTGTGGCTTGGCTGGGCCTTTGCATGGATTAGCCAATCAAGAGGTATTGGTTTTCTTAAACAAAATGCAAGAGAAAGTTGGTAAGAATCCAACAGATGATCAGGTCAAGCAATATGTGATGGATACACTGAATGCTGGTCAGGTAAGTTGCTGTGTAATCTGTTATTTTGTTTACTTTTGAGCGTATGTAGCTACAAGTTACTTTTGGAGTGTGCGGAAGTGAAAGTAGTTAAATTTTGCATGACTGCAGAACGTGGAAAACGTGTGATTGACTCTATCCACATTCACGTTTAGAAATAATTTAGTAGATTCCGTACGATTTAACATAAACACTTACTGTGTACCATAGTAAACGAAGTCCTAAAGTACATGTTTAACCTCTCCTCGCTTGGGTGAGTATGGAAAATCGTAGTCAGCTTGGTAGTTGTCCAAGGAGAACGTCTTGTTGCCATCATATCATATCCCCTTTATAAGCAGTACAACTTCGTCCTCACAACCTCATTATGGTTGTGTCATTTATTTTGAGTGACGATAACTGCTATTAATTTTTCTCCTGTGTATTGAACGTGAAAAGAGTACTACGGACAATTCCATTCGGTAATACTTCTCTAGGTCATTGCAATATGCCATTCCGACCACCATATTTGGATGGTCGGGTACTTCCAGCTACTTTTAACAGGAGTTCTGTGTAAATCAGTGTTTTGTGTAGGCCAAGATTATTTTTCGGAGTGCTTTCGGTGCATAAATCTGGTATGTATGCTTTAATATAGTATTGTTTTCCACTACCACTGGAAGACTGGCTACTGGCTTCTTCTAGTGGGGGGGGCACCCAATGAACGTTCCAGCACGAAACAGGAAGTTTCCTGAATTGTGAGAGTTCGCACAATGGGAAATTTGTCTTGTGATCTATCAGTTTAATTAGCAGGACCAACTGTAAGACTAGTTATCGTTTAAATTTAACGGACGCCAAATAGATTTTTGACTATATAGGTATAATGAGGACTACAAGGGGCTGTTGTCTAATTTAATGACCTCAGCATGAAGTTTTAAGTGTTTTGGTCGAAACAAGCTCCGAAGTCCAAAATGGTGCGTCCAGCTGAAGTAAGCTTTGAGCCCTACTACGTAAAAACAGAGCCACAATTATCTTACCACTATAATGCTGGAATCACAAATGTCTGTGAAGCGCGGTAATTTTGTGAACTCTCCTCATCACCTGACTTAACTATTTAGCGTAATTCCTGATCAAAATGATAGATTCAGTGGAGGGATGACATTTATAATTGCTAACGAATTACACAATTATATACCAGACTGCAAAAATTAATCTAGAGTAATGTATAGGTAAGTTCAAGAATGTGGTAGTTACAGGGCCACATTTCTATCCACTATGGAAGAGTTAGGTCGATGACTGAGCAATTATCTCAACTCAAGACTGATCGCATAATCCAATGAGTAATATCTACAGTCCGCAAACACCTTTCTGGATTCTGAAGTGTTGATTTGTGAGGAATTAATTCGGTAAAGTGGTACTGTAACAGTTTGAAGTTAAATTGGTTTTTATAAGATTTCCAAATATGTTTATCAAAACCCGTTTTACTTTTCCTCTTTTTTCATTTTCTTGTAACTGTGACATTAAAAAATTACTCTTAATTGTTTAGGTTATTCCGGGTTATGGACATGCTGTACTTCGAAGAACCGACCCCAGGTTTACTTGTGCACAAGAATTCTGTGAAAGACATTTTCCAAATGATTCACTCTACAAACTGGTCTCTCATTTGCATAAAGTTGTGCCTCCAATTTTGACAGGTCTTGGTAAGGTTCAAAATCCATGGCCAAATGTTGATGCACACAGTGGTGTTCTACTTCAAGTACGTTTATAAATATTATATTTGCATATAATATATATATATATATATATATACCGTGGCTTAAGACTTATCAAATTCAAATTTATGTAGTTCTAAAGTACTTTGTTTGTGTGTGTGTTGGTTAGTGGTTTATGTTTTTCAACCCATCGACCTTTCAGAATAGTCAATATTTGGAGATTTTATACTTACGGAATGAAGAAAATCAATTATCCCGTTATTGTTTTAGGTTGAAGCTAGGTAGGTATGTGAAGTGTAGTTATACAATGCTTATATTTCACAGAATAGTGAGGATTGTACGATGCGTGTAAAATCTGGAAAATGTGATATTGTGTTTTAATCCCATCCATATTGAATTGTCTATTGGGCGTATATCAAACAGCGAGACGGTAATATTTACTGTTTTACGTTTCGAGCACTATTTATTGTGTTCTACGATGTAATGAAGTTATATCGATTGAGATGGATAAGACACGTGTTATGTATACTTAGCTAATATTGCTTGTCAAGGAAGGTGGTGTAGCTAACATACGAGTAGGTTGGAAAAAGGTTAGGGGTGGTCAAACTAAAACGTGTCATAAAGAGTGTGACAGTTGGTTTAAGCCACATAGAGAGATAGAGAAAGGAGTAGGTAGAGCAGCTGGTTAGAGTCCTCTAGATACTTAACAACCAGTGGGTGGAGACAACTGGTGATACGGCTCAAAATAGTTTTCATTAGTGCAGATGCATTCACTCTTTGCGATCTATCAGATACATTATTGTTCTGTTTCATGTAGATTTCTGACCGTTATAGTTCTTTGGAATGTGTTTTCTGTACCTTTGTTTACTGTATGAAGTGTGGCAACTTGAACTGCTGTACCTTTGTGTCAAGTTCTGTATTGAATCTCACTAGTCAGTCAACTGTGTTCGAAATGTCATCCGGCGGAAATAATTCTGTTTCACTGTTTGATGATACACCCAATAAATAAAGTAAATAAATATTTGAATTGCACTAACTAAATTGGTTAATTTGTCAGAAGCTAAGGAATACAGAGCTATTTTATTACTTAATATTTATCCGTATAAGCGATGAAATATGAAGTTCGAGTTCACATTTAAATTCTAGCTATGATTGAGTCCCCAACTTCGTGGTGGATTATAGGCACTGAAAAATTCACCACACAAAATCTCATAGCTTATGCTACGGGGTAGGATACAGGCGCCTAGACCTTGGCATGTAAACGTCTTCAGAGGCCACCTCAAGCCTTTGACATGAAGTCCGATCCAGAAGTCAGTGGAATAGCATCAAGAACTACGTTCTCATGGTTTCCAGTGACTAAAGCAGGTTCACACGTGACTCTGTTCTTTCAGATTCTGGAAGCCATGTACACTATAGGTTTGGAATAAGGGTTTTCCAGCTCCTTTATGCAGATTGTAATTCCCAGATGTTCACAATTAGCCTTTCACTTCTGTGAGGAACAATTCCACCATACGAGGATAGTGAATAAGACTCTGGTAGAGGTTATAAACTCGTGGCCATATGACACGAAGACCAAAGTCTACTTATCGTCAGCCTCACGAAGTCGTTTATATGGGCTTTTTCGTAAGCCATTTTGGTTTCCAGGCAAGTAAACTGTTCGCTTTCCACTTTGACGATTAACTGATTATTATCCGATGCTTTGCTTACACCTACCTACTTATTTTGCTTAACATAATTTATTTTCTATCCTACTTTTTTTCCCCCCAGCATTATGGTCTTACTGAAATGCAGTACTATACAGTTTTGTTCGGTGTATCTCGAGCACTCGGCGTATTGGCATCGCTTGTTTGGGATCGTGCATTCGGTTTGCCTATTGAACGACCAAAATCCTTGTCTACAGATGCTTTAATAAAACTTGTAAAAGACAGTGCACGCAAACAGGCTTAAATTAATTTACAGCAAAAGAAATTAACCACTTAGATTAGACCAATCAGTCTTGACGGCGGCCACCATTGTCAGCTAATCTGCGTGAACATTCTAAAAGCCTTCATTCATATCCTTCATTTCCAGTCTTAATCGATATCCATTTGAGAAAACAAAAACATAACAAAACAAAACAAAGATGATTATTATAACATAATCATTGTAGAGCTAGTTGTGTGAATTTAAGCATTAGTTGTTAAATATTATCTATCATCATATACCCTCTATTGTTATTATCATTATTATTATTACGGTCGTGGTTTTGTTATGTTTTTTTCCTAGTTCTCAGAAAAGCCTTGTCTTACTTAATCCCCCTCCTTCCCTTCTCCCCCCCGCCCCTCCCTCTGTCTCACACACACACGAGGCGTGTTTATAACTACTATTACTACCATGTTTGATCTTATTTCTGAAATTCACTATTTATCACACTAGGATTTTCCTTACATTTACGTAGTACTCCAGACAGTATATAATACATTATAATAAATGTTTGTGAATATAGAATTCTTAGTTTTTCTTACTTTTTTATTCCCGTTGTGTATATTTAATCTAGGCTGTTTACATTGTCTTATTTCTAAAAAATGTGGTGTTGATGTGTTTTGTTGTGGTTGTTGTTGAGATAATTAAGTGGCTACTGTGTGTGTGTGTGCATGTGTTTGACGAAGTTAGCCGATTTGCTGAGATCATTCTTGTCTATTATTAACTACCACTGTAACAACAGAAGACTATGGCTAGACAACAGATCGTTTATTAAAGAAATCAACACATATTTATAGATTTTAATGTACTTTATGATAGATTATTGTTAGCAGAAAAATACAGTCTTCTGATTAGTTGTTTCTCACAGAAAGCGAACCTTGCATCTCTTGGTGGCTGTTTCTTAAATGTCAGATCATCTATATGCTAACTGTATCCGCCTACGCAAAGTCTGCTTTGGTTGGTTGTTGAATCAGTCTTTGTTCTTATTTATCTTTTCTGTAGTTTGGTTTGTAAGGGTTAGTTATGTTTGTACGAGTTGATCACGGATTGATATCAGTTAGAGAACCATTGAAAACAAGCAGGGAGTACTGGACAGCTGCTTTTTCGTCTTAGTTTGGGTTTCATCGGCAGTTCACCGCGTCCCAGTGGCTGAATGGTATACGAGCCAGCTTGCCTTGTAACCAGAAGGTCCTGGGTTCGAATCCCAGTGGGTGTGTACTGCCGATGATTCCCAAATTTGGATAAAACAGCAGCTGTCCAGTACTCCCTGGTTTTCAATGGTTCTCCAACTGATATCGATCCGTGATCAACTCGTAAAAAATCTCATTTTTCTCATGACCGATATTGGAGATGTAAACATTGACGTAAATTACTGTCTACCAATTTGACTAGCAGCCAGCTCTCACCACACCAGTACCTTGAAGTAACTCTTGAAATGTTCTCTGCATATTTATCATGCCAGTGGGATCTATTCTGATTCAATTTACCAATCATCGTGTTTATTTATTTTCTAAACCAAATATACCTGATACGTTATGAGCACCGGGAATGCGCCACACAAAATTTCATAGTTCGTGAGGGAGCTGAGACTGTGAGACAGAAGCAGGCAGTTATCTTAAGAGTCAATCTCTGAGTTCATCCATAATGTAGAGGATTGGCTTCAGGAGCTGTGTCCCAATGGCTGATGGTGACCAAAACAGGTACATACTCTGTTCGATTCTTTCAGATTCTGGAGTCTGTGTACACTACAGGTTTGGAATCAGAATCTCCCAACTCCCCTAGGTAGACAAGCATGATAACCAATTCGATGGCAAGCACCGAACGTCCTTATTCACATTTTATTTTTGCGAGGAATACTCCGAATAAGATTTACCTGGCAGATGCTATACCATCAATCTGTGAGTTCAAATACCTGACAGGTTGAATATTTATGTGAATTTCTGTATAATTTTTCTAGTTTTGTTACTTGGTGAGAATTTGTTCCAGGCTTATATCTCAACACTGAAATACTATTTCAGGTGGTTTGTAGGGCTCGTATCCACTTGGAAAAAGTTCTCTGATCAGACACTTCAAAGTACTTTTATTTTCTTGTCGTTGGAAAATTTCAAAAGTGTAACAGATTTCTAACCAAACTACAAGTTCTCTAAGAGCTGTCGACAATGATCTCCAAGTGTTGGTTTGCAAAGATTTGATTGGTTTCAGTTTCGATCACGAATTTACGTCACTTATGGAACCATGGAGTACTTGACATCCGTTTCGCCCCTTTCTGCAACTCCTCAGTAGTACGCAGTCCAGGACCTTCAGGTTAGAAGGCGAACTCATGTACCATCCAGCCATTTGGACAGAATCCAATGGCCAATCAAAATTTTAACTTCTGCCAATTTGCAGTAAAGAGTGGCTGCCAGCGAATGTCTCAAACAAGGACGAAACAGTTGTCTGGTACTCCCTGGTTCTCTAGCTAAAGTCGATTTGTGATCAAAATTGATGTTAACAGTAGTATTTAAACTGAATTGTGAATAGGTCGGGGAGGTGATAATAGCGTTTAAGCCTAGACGTAACACACCAGTATATGCAAACATTAGCGTTTTGTGTAGGCTATGTTAAAAAGTATCGGCCTACCATGATTTTGTCGTTTTTAATGTAGGTGCATTTTGTGCCCATACTTCGTCAGCCGTTGTTTTGTTTATTCTATTTTAGGGAGGATATCCTCAGGTTCCAGCTTGTCAACCGCTACATTGAAATTTAGTACCTTTTCTAATACACTTATTTCTGTAGGATTGATAATCCACTTTGTTTTATCGATCGCCGTTGACTTCAGATTGTTGACTTCGTCGTTCTGAGATGAAGATTTCCCCTCTAATAATTTATTGAACTTTTTGATTTGATTATTTTTTGACTTTTTGAAAGTTGCTGATTTTGCATTGCTAGATGACTGTGTTATAAGATCATAATCTACATTGGTAACTATTCCCATCAGCTTTTTCTTGAATTGCTCAATTTCACATCTGATATATTGCAACTTTTTAACAATTCGGTGGACCTCTTCTTTTAGGCATAATTTTTGTAGGCTTTCTATTCTGCTTCTAACTCTGTCCATTGGAACTGGATCTCATAGACGTAGATATTTGGAATGATTTCATTTTTTAAGCATCGAATGTTGAAAATACAATGATTTTCATATCTTGCTTCAGTTTGTGAAAGTTGAGTGAGTTTATTGATAAGTCTTCGCACAGGAAGACCATAAGTCATATTAATATATTACTATTAGTATTATCTACTGGATTTTCCAGTAAATAATACTGTTTCACTGTGTGATACATCTAATAAACAAACTAATATGGAATTACTACCACAGTGCCCAGGTCTTACACATATATTAATAGGCCTACCAAGTTGCCATTCATGCGATAATCGAGACCAGTGGTTAGTAATTTCAAGTGGGTACATTTGCGAAATCGGTGATCTTCTCAGGCGGTGTCACATAATTTTATTCCCATTTCCGTTTTATGATAGCCAATTTGAATATTTCTTTCCTTCCTCTTCGTACCTTCCAACTCGATATATAATGGTCAGTGCGTCGGTGGCACAGCGGTTAGGACTCTCGCCGACCATGCACATGGTCCGGGGTTCGATGCCCTGCCGACGCACACCTGATATCTATGGTCGGCCTGCAAAATTTAGGCTACCAATATCACATGCTGAAAATTCCATACCTGTACCAAAAATACGGTGTGGAATCAAGCTGTAATAAAAAATCAACTCAAAAAAATTACTCATGCCCATATTGTGGCTCAGTCTGTTAAAGAAAGCATTTCTCCCGAGTAACTGAGTTCAAACTAATATTTCGAACTGTCGTAATGCGGTTCAGGAGTAAACCACCCTGGGTCTTTTGTCTTCTTCTCTGGGCAATTTTAGCTGACATGCAATTAGGTTGGAAAAAAAGTTAGTGGTAATGTTGAGCATATTGATTGATCTGGATCTCAGTTTTGTGAATGATTAGTGCATCAAAATGTCCAATGAGATAACTTGTTAACATTTATATCTGTATAAATCTCAGCGAAATTGAAATCATCACATCCAACGTTTCGCTCACCGAAATGGTTCACACTTCTTGTCCAATTATATCTAGTCATGAAGGCAGTCATCAAAGGCAAAATTACATGAACTATGATCAAAAGATTTGACCTAGTGGATCCAGACAATCATTATTATGATTATTAATCTGTTTTGTCATACAGTATTGTATATGTTTTCACCAAATTACGGGAAAGCAAATACTGTTTACAATGTATAACAAAGTAGACTAATGGTAATAAGTTTGTAAGAATATTCGGCCAAATCCTGATCAGAGTTCGTATAAAGAGATAGCATGAAATAATAGAGAAGATTTGTAGTTCGGGTGGATGATTTTGAATTAGTTGTGTTCTCTGAGCTGGTTGATTTAATTGCAAGGCTTTCATCATCCATCTTCTGGGCAACATCTTTAGTGCAATTTTTAGCATAAAATGAACTGATTTAAATTCTCCATGAATGCTAGAATTGTATCTCCTGGCAACCATCTTCGTAACTCGTAGTTGATTTACATCTCAATTGGTCATTTTTATTGAATTGGAATTTGACTTTCTCGTCATGTGATTTACTTTTTATTAGCTGATAAGGATTAAATTTGTTTCTACGAGTTTCACCACGAATTGATGTCAGTTAGAGAAAACCATTAAAAACCAGGGATATCAATCCGTGGTCAAACTCATAAAAAACAAGTCTAATCCTTACAAACCAATTATGGAAAATTATTCTGATGCTCGCTAGTGACTTGCTATACAGGACGGAGTTTCCTGGAGTTCTAGTGAGAAGTCGTGACCGGTGAGGTCCAACCAGTCAAGTGTGAAGATGAATTTCCCACCAATGTCATTGGTTGGTGGTCGCAGTGAATCACGAATTAGTAGAAGTTAGAATTCATGGGTTGGCCATTGAGTCGGGTCCCAGTGGCTGAATTGTCTACGAGCTTGCCTTGTAACGGAAGGTGCTGGGTTCGAGCCCTAGTGGTGGGTGCGTACTGCCGATGACTCCCAAACTAGTGAGATGAAACAGCTGTCCAGTACTGCCTGCTTGTTTTCAATGGTTCTCTAACTGATATCAATCCGTGTGTTTGTTAACTCCTAATTCGCTTGAGTACCAGGTGTCTAGGAATTCTCTGGCACTTCTGGTGTTTCCTCTATTTAAAATTTCGACATTATCCCAATCAACTTGGTGTCCATAATTATCTACATCCAGGGATTGCTTCTTCTTTCAAAAGGTTTGTACACCACCGAATTCGCTAAGCGGCTGCCTTAGTTCCAATGTTTGCAGTATATATGTTGGGGGAAATGCTGATTTTGCCCATTTAATCTGGATTCTGCGGATAATTTGTTCATCAAAGTGCATCGAAATGCAATCTGCTTTCATTGTGTGGGGGTGACTGAAAAATATGAACTACTGTTATAACGGCAGAATATTATAGACTTGGTAAAGGTCCTTTATTAAGGAGAAAACACATCACCTTTATATATTCTGAGCCACATTCATTTTCGGTTAGGTCAGAGGGGGATGAATTATTCTGATTGGTTGGCAATCGGTCCAAGGTTGAACAAGTTGTCCAGTGAGGTCATTTCATGTCTACAACGGAAACCGAATCAAGATCTGAGGAATAAACCCTTCTACCTCAGCAGTCGTTGACTTATAATGTTGATTTAGTTTTTAGTCGCTTCCTATCAATCTGCATCACGCTACACTATCTCTCATGTATGTTAATTCATGTCTCACGAAGAAATCACTAAATATACTCAACTTCGTCTCATATCCACTGATTATCATCAAACCGACTGTAGCAAGTAAGCATTGGAACTGTGTGGGCGGCTGTTACTTCCTGGTTGCCCACACCGTGGAAGTTGGTTAATTCTTCGGGTACCTGAGACAGAAAGAGGGTTACTGTTGCGTGGCCACAGAGCCCAAGGGACGACTGCGTGTGGCCGGTCACACACGACCTGTATGAACTGATTTCTGGGCTTGGTTTCCGTATTAGTGAACTTACCTCCAGTTACGGACCACTGTAGGGTAAGTCGAAATGTACAATTTTTGGGGTCGACCTTTTCTAACTCCCTCTTTCTGGAGTAGAGAGACAGCATAGCTGGCTGGCATGCTGGTCATCTGAGGGAAACACCCCACTGCTGTTACATTTCTGTTCCCTAACAGTACGACTTCGCCCACAGACCCACAGCATAGTGTAAAAAAATTCTTACACTAAGCCGGTAACTGATTTTAGTCTAATCGCTATCGTAACAACCTTCCTGGCATGGCAGGACCTTCAGGAACGATAGTTCCAGCCAGTGTAGCTTTTGGATCATTGCGATGTGTAAGCCCGACCACCACGTCAAGGTAGCAGCTGTCAAATACGCATTTGAAAAAATTCGTATGCATACGTTGCGATGCCATTATATTTTTTTGTGGAATTATTGTTATTATTATTATCATCATTATTCATCCTCTAGATTCTGAGTGGAACACACGGCTTCAGCAGCACATCGCTATTTCACTCTGTTGTCTGCGGTCTTCTTCATCTGGCTGCACAGTCGCCTTTAAGCTTTCACTTTACCCTTACATGATCTCCATTTCATCTTGGGGCCATCGTTCACTTGAGGGCCTGTTTGGCGTGTAATGTCACTCAACCACCAGTCAGCCAATGTTCAATCCCATCTTCTTTTCCTCCTTCATATTTCTTAGTACCAACGCTTTCTTGGTTGGTACTCTGTCCGAGTTCCTTGTTGCTTATCTATGCTTTGACTAGCTGTCTGATCTTTAACGTCAAGTGATGATGGAGGTGAGTAGCAGCAATCTGTTGGAATTGTTTTTCTTGTTGTGTGCACCAAGTGTGTGAACTATATACATTAACTGAGTTGATATTATTGTTAGAAATTTGTATCTAGTTCCCAACGTTGGTTGAGTTTAGAGTAATGAACACCTGTCATACTTTGATTGGACTCCAGTAACTAGTGTGACGTGTCTAGTCCTTTGTTTGGTGCAGACTGAATTCCATCAGTCACGTTTGCAATGTGGCCACCATTCTAGGTAGCTCGCCATCACGGTGCACATTGATATAATATCAAATCAATATGCACAGTGATGGCGAGCTACCTAGAATGGTGGCTAGATTGCAAACCTCACTGATAGAATTCAGTCTGCACCAAACAGAGGACTAGACACGTCACACTAGTTATTAGTACCCAATGAAAATACCCACTACAGTCCTACAGGAGGTCAATCGCGAGTCCGAATAGCTCAGTGGTAACGTCTCTGACTGCAGCACTGGGTGACGCCAGCTCGAATCAGAAGGGACATGAGTTCCTTCAGGGTTGCAGATACGCCTTGCTGACTGGTGAGTGCCAACTAGCACGAAACCTAGGTCCAAGGCTTCCTGTGGCCGATTGGTTCCAACTATCTAATACCTGTCATACTTTCCCGACCTGATCCTTTTTGGCCTTGACATCCACATACGTTCCACTGTTATGTTGTTGAAATGTGCTGTTGACGTAAAGTAGATAAAAGAGACGAAATTGTTTTACCGGTGATGGTGATTAGTACTCGTTTTTGTTGGTTGGATATCATCTTCACCTTTATCTTACCTATGTTCACTTGAAGCACAGTCTTTGCTGCCTCTTCTGTCTCTCTGCTAGTTGGTTTCTACTTGTAATTCTTTGAGTTTGTGTGTGAGACACAAGGCATAGATCATCAGTAAAATCTGGTTTTTCTAGGGTTCTTGTCTGTCGGTTCAGTGTATGCTTGTCTTCATTTCAAACGCTTCACTTAGTTTTCCTTTGTATCTCAGTTGACATGTGTCATTACCAAGTAGGATGTTCACAAAGGGGTTTGCACCACTTTACAAGATTTTGTGAAATTTTTGTTTTCGAGGGAAGTTTAATGCTGATCGATCAGCAATTGATGACATTGTTTTAGTAAACGCTTTTCAAAGTAATCAGCTTAGGTATCGATTAATGAACCAAACATATACAGCTACCATTACTATGTGTTTGTTTTTTATGATCTCGTTAGCTTTTTTTTAGATGTTGATGTGGGTAGTAGGATTCTTTAAGTTTGTCTATTTTGCCTGGAATTGGAGCTGTTAGCTTTAAGTTGTTGATTTATTTTGACTATGTTGCGTCGGTGGCGCAGTGGTTAGGACGCTCGTCGACCATGCACATGGTCCGGGGTTCGCTCCCCGGCCGAGGCACACTCGATATTAATGG